TGGCCTCGGGCACTTACTGGGTATGTGATGCTGGACAAATCACTTCATCCTGTTTGTCTGTTTCCTCATCTGTAAAGTGAACTGGAGAAGGACATGGCAAACCACCCCAGTATCTCTGTCAAGAAAACCTCAAAAGGGGTCATGCGGAGTTGGACAGGACTGAAAAATGCCTGAACAATAACAACTAGCTGGTACTGGACACAAATCCTATTTTGCTAAGGAGTTGTTGTTATTGTTATTTGTCCTTTGTTCTTGAAGAGGACAATGACATCAGGGAGGTGATGCCATGACATGCAAGTGAAGTTGGACTTAAGTGAGGGAGGGTTGTGCAAAGTCACCAGCCTCACCTTCTCCTCTGAAGCCATCTGGGTCCAGTAGCAAGATACAGACCAGGGCCACTGGAGATGGTGCTGGATGCACTTGGAGAGTTTGGCCTTTTTAAGCTAAGGTCTTTCTGGGTCTCAATTTGACTGAGGCAACCAACATCCATTCAGTGATTAAGGCTAGGTAAGAAATGAGGCAGAAAATGGACTCTTTTACCCAGTCAAAAAAAAAAATCAACCTGGGAGGGAAAGACCCTCAGGGTTTCTGGCTAAAACAGACACAATTGCTATTTGCATTTACTGTGAGCCAGTCAGGGCCAACCCTCCCCCCCAACAATGACCACCTGGGAGTAGACCAGTTTGGAATGAATAAATTACTCTGTTTAAGGGCTCCTTGAGGGTGGGGGCTGTTTTTTCGTTCCTCTGTATGCATGGAGCCTAGTGCCTAATATTTTGATTGATCCAAGAGATAACAGATAATGGCAATTGTAGCTCTCTGAACACTAGGACATTTTTACAAATAGTGGTAGGGAGTAGTGACTACACATCCTACCTACCCACCCATCGTTACTCCCAGCACACTGCTGGAAAGTAGATTTGAAGGTTAAGACAATAGGACATCTCTCAGTGAGGTTGATTCCTATACTAATACACTGACTGCTGCTGCTACTACTACCAACAACAGCTAACATTTATATAGCGTTTTAATGTTTGCAGAATGCTACTCAAATGACTCCATTTTATCCTCATAACAACCTTGTGAGAGAGGTGCTCTTATTAACTACTTTAAGCACAATGGATGGAGTGCTGGGTCAGGAGTCAGGAAGACTCATTCTCATGAATTCAAATCTGGCAACAGGCACTTAAAAAATTGTGTGACTCCAGGCAAGTCTCTTAAGCCTGTTTGCCTCAGTTTTCTCATATGTAAAATTAGCGGGAGAAGAAAATGGGAAATAATTCTAGTATCTTTGTCAAGAAAACCCCAAATGGGGTCACAAAGAATCAGACATGACTGAAAAATGACTCTATATAGATAAGGAAACAATCTGACAAGTTAAGTGACTTGCTCAGGGTCACACAGCTAGAAAGTATCTGAAGAGGGATTCAAATCTGTATCATCTTAATGCCAAAGCTTACAATGAATTAAGCAGAAAAGAACAAAAACAACAAACAACAAAAAAATTCCCCCCCAAAACATTCAGTATGCTTACTGTCAAGATGAAGTCTGTGTTTGATTAAGCAGTACAGAACAGCTGTGATGGTGATTCATGAAGGTAAAAGAAGTCTGGACGAGTTAGGGGTGAGTGGGGAACATTTAGTTTAGACATTAGAGAAAATTAAGAGAACACTATTCATGGGAACTTATGGGATTTTAAGCTTCCTAAAACCAAGACCAAATACCTAGTGCTTACTTTAAATGTTAGTGACTACTATGACTTTTGTGAGGTAAATTAATCATAATATAATTCAGAGATCTGGTCAAGGTGACCATTTAAATGTCCAATATCTCAGAGTGTTAAGAATTCCTAGATGTGACTGTTATGGAAGATAAAATGAATTTAAGAAAGCTCATTTATATCATTAAGAATATATAAAATTAAGCCAAAATGATTCTTGCTTTGAAATGGGGATAAGAAAAATTGTGGTTATACTATGCTATCCTACTTTGATCCCAGGTCCAGCAAAAGGGGGGAAAAACCCACATACATATGTATATTATATATATGTGTGTATATATACATACATATACATATATAGGTACATATATATGTGAGAATTTGGTAAGAAATTCTTAGAACTTAATTTGCTAAAATGGGCTCAGATATTTCATTTAGAAGAAATGGGAACAGAATGTACAGTCACCCAGACTTGACTAGGTGGTTTGCTAAAATGTATGAAAAAAAAAAAAAGTTTAACCTTGCGGAATGAATGTCTTGGATGATTTGGCCATGATTATTATTTTTAACAAATGACTCATGACAGTGTTTGCCTCTCCTCTCTCTGCTTCTCACTTTTCTCTAACAGCAGAGATTCTTGTGGGTTTCTTTCTTTCTTTTTTTCCTCTTTGGGCTGTCCCAAATTTTCTAACACTGGAAGATTGTTCCTAATGGAAATAAAAATTCCTACCAGAGTTGGTTCTTATGCTGCTGTCAAGAAGAAAACTTGCTCAAGAATCCTGTCAACCTGGTTTTTGGATACCTGGCTGTGTCTTAGGGAATAGATCATTGGAAGGAAGGGGGATGGACCAGGGTTGGAAAGCTGTAAGCTAGAATAGTATCTTTTTCCATATGTCCTCAACAACTTTCTCTTTTAAAGAAAGAGAGGGATAAAAAGAAGAAAATAGGATGGAGGGAAATATATAGCAATCATAACCATGAATGAGAATGAGATTAGTTTACCCATAAAATGGAAACAAATAGCAGAATGGATTAGAAACCAGAATCCCACAATATGTTTTTTTACAAGAGACACATGTGAAACAGAAAGACACACACAGAGTTAAAACAAGGGGCTGGAGAAGAATCTATTATACTTCAGCTAAAGCAAAAAGGGGGGGGGGAATAGCATGATCTCAGACAAAGTCAAAGCAAAAAAAGACCTAGTTTGAAGAAATAATCAGGGAAATGACATTTTGATAAAAGGTAGCATAGACAATGAAGTAATATTAAAATTTTTTTTATAGCAAGTTTCTTTGATAAAGGCTTCTTTTCTCAAATATATGGGGAACTGAGTCAAATTTATAAAAATAAAAGCCATTCCCTAATTGATAAATTATCAAGGGATATGAACAGGCAGTTTTCAGAAGAAGAAAACAAGCTATCTATAGTCATACCAAAAAAATTGCTGTAAATCGCTATCGATTAGAGAAAGGAAAATTCAAACAACTCTGATGTACCACCTCACATCTATCAGAAATGACAAATGCTGGATGGGATGAGGGAAAAATAGATATACTAATGAACTGTTGGTGGAGTTGTGAACTGGTCCAGTCATTCTGGAGAATAATTTGGAACTATGACCCCAAAGGCTATAAAACTGTGGGTACCCTTTGACCCAGCAATACCACTACTGGGCCTGTACCCCAAAGAGATAAAAGGAAAAGAGCTTACATTACAAAAAGTATTTATAGCAGCTCTTTTTGTGGTGGTAAAGAATTGGAAATTGAGGGAATACCCATCAATTGGGGAATGGCTGAACAATTTGTGGCACATGATTGTGATGAAATACTATTATGCTATATGATGAGGAGGATGGTTTCAGAAAAAAAAACACAAGAAGACATCTATGAACTGATGCAAAGTGAAGTAAGCAGAATCAGAAGAACATTGTATACAGTTACAACAACATTGTAATGATAATCAACTGTAAAAGACTTAGCTACTGTGATCAATACAATGATCCAAGATGATTCCAAAGGACTCATTTTGAAAAATGCTACTAACCATCTCCAGAGAAAGAACTGATGAACTCTCAGTGCAAATTGAAGTTTTCTCACTTTCTTCACTTTTCTTGCTTCCTTCCCTTCCCCCTCCCAAATATGGCTAATATGGAAATATGTTTTGCATGATTTCACACGTGTAATTGATATCACATTGCTTGCCTTCTCAGTGGGTGGAGGAGGGGCAGTATGGAGGGGGAGAATTTGGAACACAAAATTTAAAAAGAGAATGTTAAGAAAACATATTTTTAAAGTTTCTCTTTTAACATCAGAGGGGCAGATTCTGAAGGAAAGCAGACCTGTTGCATTGGTATGCATAATGAAATGTCTTTTCTCTGGTGGTGGACTGACATCTATTAACATCTTTAAGAACATGTGTTTTGTTATACTATCTGTCCTGCCACTTGTCATCTGCAGGAGACACATAAAGAAGGAGAAAGGAAGGGCATAAGAATTTATATAGCACTGTGCTAATAAGTGCTTTTTACAAATTTATCTCATTTGGTCTTCATAATGACTCTGGGAAGTAGGTGCTGTTATTATTTGCATTTTACAGTAGAAGAAACTGAAGCAAACAGAGATTTTTTTAACGTGACTTACCTAGGGTCACACAGCTAGTAAGTGTCTGAGGCCAGATTTGAATTCGGATTTTCCTGACTCCAGGCCCACTGTTACTGTAACTCCAGTAGCACCTTTCCCTGTGTCGGCCAAGGATGGGTCATTATTGCATGTAGAGGCAGATATGGGATGAAGGGTCAGTTGTGATGCATACTTGCTGGGAGACCTGGAGTAAGTTAATTCACATTTCTAAACTTCACTTTACTTTTCCAGAGAAGAAAGGTGTATAATACTTGCATCACTCACCTCTCAAGGTCTTTCTGAGGAAAGTATTCTATAAAACTGTCAAGTGCCATTGGAATGTAAGCTATTAGATAAGGAGGTTAGAAGACACATTTCTTCCTGGCCTTGGCTATGACTTGCATAGAAGGAGCAAAATCTAAGAATATCATGGATGAGAGGTGATTGCGTAAACCCAAAGGTCTCTACTATGTAATTATGTTAATGTCACCTCTACCAGCAAAAAAATAAATAAAAGTCTCCTTTGTTTCTCTGACCCCAAACAATATGGAGGCTAGAGGATGTTTAATGGAGAAGGGGTTCAGCATGAATGGGGGTGTATATGTATTCTACTTTTTGCATGCAGGATATGAAAGCTAATCTGATTCATTTATTTTTAGGGGGTCTTGGCTATGGGCCTCAGTGCAAGTCCATTGGAAAAGGCAGCTGCAACAATCTAGTGGTCACCAGCAGTCCCATGATGGTTCAACGGCTGGGACCCATATCACCTCCTGCAAGCCAGGTCTCTACAGCATGCAACCAGATCAGTCCTAGCTTACAGAGGGCAATGAATGCAACCAACATGAATATACCTCCTTCAGATACCAGGTCTTGAGTTATTTATTTGTTTTTCTTTCTCTACAGGATGACATACCCTGGGAGTGTTTTCCCTCCATTTTCCCTGCACATAAACATGTGCATGCATATAGTCATGCTATTTCAACTGATTTGAAGGGGATAACATGTATGTCGAATGTGTATTTGGTTCATTAAAATCTTGATTGGAAGGAAAAGTTTTAAGACTGGGAAGCACATTATAGCTAAGTATCACCAGTTCACAGAAGAGGAAGGGACCTCAGAAGCTGTCCCATTCATACCTGGGCAGGAATCCACACTACATGTCTAGCAAGTAGCCATTCAGCTTCCATTTGAATATTGCTAGCAGTGGAAAGTGTAATATGAGTGGAGTTTAGTAAAAATCAGGGAGGAATTTTCAGGTGCCTAGTGGTAGAATCCTGATTTGTAATATTGTCAAGTCTCTGGTATAGAATGACATAAATATATGAACAGTAATGTGGCCAACAGAAATTTGAGATAATGTAAGCACCTATATGTGTATATATGACTGCATATATATGCATATGTACATGTCTATATGCATGTTTCTGCAGATTTATTTGCAACATGTCCTAGTATAGTGCCCAACATATAATAGGTGTTTAATAAATGTTTGTGACTTTGTCATTTATTCATGCATTCAACAAATATTCTTCCAGCACCTATAATCTTTTTAAGCCCTGGTTTCAAGCACTAAGTGGGGGAGAAAAAAAAAAGGTCCCTGCCCTTCAGGAACTTAAAACCTAGCTGGGGAGATAAAACATGCAAGTGCAAGGCAGTAATTATAGCCATATCAACATCTCACATTTATATAACATCTCAAAGTTTATAAAGTGTATTCCCTTAGGATTGTAGTTTAAGTATTATGATCTTCACTTAATATGAGTAAATGTCCAATAAGTGGTACCAGAAATAAGTTCCATTTTTTTTTCTCTCTACTGGGAGATCCATTGAGTGGGTTGGATAATGGATAATGAAAGGAATGGGTAGCCATCTTCCTCAGTAAAGTAGTTTTAAGGCTCTGAGGCTCAATTTTAGAATGTGCTGCTATGCAATAAAATGTGTTTATTTCAGTAATTGGAATACATGATTTCTTCTTTCAGGGCCTACCAGTTCTAGAAAAAAAGCTTCTCCTCCCCTTTTTCATTCTTTCTGAAAACATTACATATTTCTTTGTTTCAGGAGTGGCTATAAAATTATAGAGTTCCAGAATTGTTAGTTTTTCCTTTTTTTTTTAAGAGCAAAAAGAAAAAAATGCCAGTATTTTTTTTTTATGAGATAGAAGCTTGTTTTTTACCTGAGATATTTCATGATAGGAAGCTGCCTGTCATTTCCCTATTGATGGTTTTGCCTCGAGGGATTCCTCCAACTTCCTGAGAACTGCATGCAAAATTAGGTGTGCTCATGGGCTATGTGTCACCAGGAGCCCTTCATATTCCTGTCCATGCCATGTCCAGGTCCAAGCCTTGAAGGCAGAGTCCTAATAATCAATGGAGCAGCACGACTGAAGGCATAGAAAATTCATGCCATGTAACTCCAGTAGCACCTTTCCCTGTGTCGGCCAAGGATGGGTCATTGTTTTCTTGTTTGGGGGTATATTTAATTTCTTAGAACATTTTTCTATTTTTGAAAGAAAGCACGTTAAAGGTGCATTGAGAAAAAGTGTGTGTGTGTGTGTGTGTGTGTGTGTGTGTATGTGTATATGTGTTTTAAACTCTCCATGGAAGAAATTTAGATTGTTTACCCTGTAGTAGGACTCTATTACAGGGGCAACAAAAAAACCCTAGCTGGGGAGTGGCACTTAAAGGATGGGAAACTTAATTTTAAGCCATTTTGTAGGGTAAAAGGCAGATTTACTTGTGCTATTTAAAATGTATGTGCATGTTCTCATCAAGCTGCTTGAGGATGGAGAGCTAGTCAGCTCAACTTGAAGGTATTTTGGTTTCTAGGGAGAAGTAGAAGATGAAAGGGGAAAAAAAAGTTACCTTCATGTTTTACCCACCAAGGGCTGCCTGGTAAAAATGAATAAAAATCAAACAAACAAACCAATAAAAATGAACTTTTTGATGTCAGGTGTGACTGCTTTGCAGAAATGAAAACTTCTGCTGGTTATATAGGAAAATTATTCCTCGTTCCACTCAGTGAGATTATTTGTCTGAGAGGATAAGAACTATACTGGGGAGAGAGCATAGAGCTTTATTCTATGGGGTGTTCCAAAAGTCTTTATTTTAAGCTATTAAAGTTTAAAATGGCACAAAAGCTTTTGGGACACCTCATAAAGTCTCATAAGCATGTCTGCAAATACTATCTAAAAAGGCAAATGAGGTATATCTTACCCCCCTAGTTGTTTATTCACATTGGCAAGGAGTTTTCCCTAACTGAGAGAAACCTGAGATGCTCACAGGGCAACTTGCCATCTTCCTGAACTTAAGACAGCACTCAGGCAAGAGAAGAATTAAAATGATTCAGTGCATTTATATAGAACTTCTTATCTTTTAAAATATGTTTATATGCAACATTAGTATAGATTTAATTATTGTGAAATCCTGTGAGTTATTTAGGATGTTATTATTTTTATGCCCATTTTATTGATGACGATGAACAATTATTGGTACTGTATTCTCTCTCTCTCTCTTCCTTCCTCCTCCCCTCCCTTCTTTTTTCCTCCTTTCCTTCTTCTTTTAACATTCTTTTTTAAAATATTTTGAGTTCCAACTTCTTCCTCTTCCTCCAGGCTCCCCTGTTCTTATTGAGAAGGCAAGCAATATAATACCCATTATACATGTGAAATCATTTTAATTTATTTTTCTTTTTTTAACATTCATTTTTTAATTTTTGAATGCATATTTCTTGAGCACTTTAGATTTCCAAAGTTCTTTCCTTTATATGAGTCCTGTGAACCTGGCTATGCTGTTCAAGAGATATGTGACCTCAAGGAAGTCACTCCCCATTTTTAAGCCTTGGTTTTCTCATCTGTAAAATGAAAGGATTGGACTAGATGGTCTCCAAGGCCCCTTCTTGGTGCTGAGCCTATGATCCATTCTGAGTATGGCAAATCTCATTTTTCAGATGAAAACTCACCCAGGGCCATAGAGCTCCCAAGTGAGAGTTCTGGATTTGAACTGAGGTCTCCTGTGGCCAAGTCTAGCGCTCTTTCTTCTGCACTATGGTTAAAAGCCCTGGCTAAGGTTACATAGAAAGAGGCAGAGTGAAGACAGCGGGGCTAATGCATATCATGCCATGCCAGGGCCAAAGGGGCTGTCACAGTTAACTTTCTTCTTGCCTATCTGAGGAATGAACTACTTCTCCAGTGGGGAACAGTGGAGATTCTGGTTTGCTCTGGAATACACCCAGTAGACAGACTATGGAGTGACCCACAGAGCTATGGGTTTTAGGAGATCTCAGTTTACTTCTCTGTACAATGTGGGGGCAGGAGTTGGAGTGGGTTGGACTGGAGTTAAGGATACTGTTTCAGCTCTTATATATTATAAAACCATTCTTTGTTAAGAAATCCAGGTAATTCTGGTCTTGGGAGTGGCACAGTCCAATATTCTCTAGTTCCCTCAACCAGGACTCCCAGTACAATCAAAGACTAGACCAAACCTTCCGTAAAAGATGTGAGTGACCAATCTAGATGCCCAAGGACTAGCTTCATGGGAGCTCAGAAGATCTTTCAGGAAAGTATTGTGAGGAATCTTCTTTAGCCCAATTATTCTGGTCACTGAATTTCTCTCATGGCCTAAAGCTCAAACACTGCGCACATGTGTGTCATGCTCTGACAAGTGAGGGATTGTTACCTCACCAGCCACAATAGCTTTTCAACCACAAGCTCTGTGCTTTCCTATCCATTTTATTCTATTTGAACCATATCTGCTTTCCTTTTACGTAGATAGACCTCCAAATTGGCCAACCACCAGAAATAACACCTTTAGAATCAGATGAAAACAAGAACAAGTAGGGTATTATCAACCTATTGATAGAAATGTAGCCCTGCATACTTCATGGCCTCTCCCAGAGTCATTGACTGTTCAGTAGAACAGATGATTGAATAAAGATGTATGTAATGCTCCATGGAGAATAATCTAGCCTTTCTCCCCTCCCCTCCCCTCTTCTCCCTACTCTTCTATCCCCTTCCATTACTTCTCTCTTTCTCTCTATGGTTCGTTCCCTCCTCTTCCTACTCCCCCTCCCTCTCTTTTCTCCTTCCTTTCCTCTTCTTTCCTTCTTCCCCTCCCTCTTTTCTTCCCTCCTTCCTCCTCTCTCTCTTTTCTTCCCTCCTTTCCTCTCCTCTCTCTTTTCTTCCGTTTCTTACTTCCCTCCCTTCTTTCCTCCCTCCCATCCCACCCTCTTCTTCCCTTCCTCCCTCTGTCTTTCCCTCCCTCCCTTCCTTCTTTTTTCAGACCTTTGTTACATGTGAAGCTACATCTGTGAGGCCAAGCATGTTGCATTTCACCTCTTACTCATGTTTCTCCAGTACCCTTAGGAGGTTTAGGGGTGGGAGGAGGTCTCTGTGGGTTATACAAAGCCATATAAAATACAGGCTCCAGTGGAATGTAAGGAAAAGGGCTTTTTCATTTTTGCCTTTGTATATCTAGCAACTAGCACAATGCCTGACATATAGTGGATGTACATTAATGCTTGATGAATCAACTTGAATATGGTCTTGAAGAGGTCATAATTCGATTTAATAAGACAGAACACAGGATCATAGCAATCAGAGCTAGAAGGACCTTAGAGATTTTCTGGTCCAACTGCCTCATTTTCTAGATGAAGAAACTGAGGTTCCAGGAAAGTGACTGACTTGCCCAAGACCACATACATGGCAAGTTGCATATGCAAATGATCAATTAAATGGTAGATGAAAAATGGCACATGAAAGGCAGCACTAAGTTGAAGAGTGGCTGGACCTGAAGTCAGGAGGTTTGGGTATATATTCTGGGTCTGGCACAGACTACCTGTGTGATCTGGCTATTCACTTTGCCTCTCAGCTTTAAGCAACTTTGTTTATAAAATGGAGACAATAATATCTGTACTATCCACTTCACAGAGTCATTCTAAGGGAAGTACCTGAGTGTACGAGCAGGAGTTGTTTTATTTAGGCTAAATAAATGACAGAGACAATATGTACCATGGGAGTTTGTAGGAACTGAATCCCTTAGGGCTTACATAACTGGAAAAGTCTTCACCAAGGAGTGAATCTAGAAGAATCATAGGATTCTAGACCTCTGGGCTAGAATGTTTGAGGCGATCTAGTCTAGTACCTACTTATGACAAAGATTTGGGTAGACAGGGAAGAGAGGAAGGCATTGTTACAAGCACAGCATTGTAAGCATCTTTCTTATAAGTCATTAGAAACATAGGGAATAAATAGTTTCATGTTGCAGCAGGAAGAATATAATTTCTATATCTTTGGGGAGAATTTTTTTTTATTACAACCACATTAGAAAAATAAAATTGATTAATAAGCGCACATTTATTAAGTACTTACTATGTGCCAGGCACTATGTTAAAAAAAAAAAGTTAAAAAGATACAGTCCAAGGCATGTAGAGTCTTTGGATGATCAAGTATATCGGAACAGAGAGTATGAAAGGGGAAGTGAACAGACTGTTATTAGATACCTGCCAGGCACCGTGCATAGTTATCTCATTTGTTAGGAGTTCACCTCTGTGTGGCTACATGGTGTGGTAAAGTGCTGGACAACTGAAATCAGGAGACTTGGTTCAAATCCAGCCTCTGACACTAGTTCTGTGTTATGAATATAGGCAAGTCACTGGACCTTTCAGAATCTCTATTTCCTCATCTGTAAAACGGATATAATACATGCAGTGCCTAACTCCTAGGGTTTTTGTGAGGAAAGCAATTTGTTAGCCTTAGAGCATTATATAAATATGAGTTATTATTATTTAATCAGGCTTAGACCTAGCCATAAGTTGTGCATAATTTGAGGAAGAGGACATAAATTCTTCAGCTTTGGAGAGGACAAACCAGATTGCTATTGAAAATTCTTTCTGACCTCACACATAGAAAAACTTTAGGTTTCTCATAAGCAAAGCAGGTGAAGAGGAGGAATGAAATGCTTTTTAGATACGATTCCTGCTTTTAAAATAAGAAATACACCAGTATTGCTGGATCCAGCATATATGCCATTTACTCAACAAGGATCACTGAGCTCAGTCAGTAAAACCTTGATGCTTTATTTTCTAAAGGCCCTCCCAAGCTATTGGGTGAGAATCAGGACCAATCACGTCTTACTTAAAAATGACATCTACAGCATTCAGTGAACCAGAGATAACACTGTTCCATTGCATGGCTGGGGAGGGGCCTGGGAGGCTAGTGGCATGGAGAAAAACTCTCTAACCATAAGATTGACAGACCTATCCTGGATCACTCCCAGAACCCACTGTGGGAAGCACAATGATGGCCATTCCTCAAAAAATCTGAAAAAAACTGTAGAAACCTAGGCCGATTGTGCCTTCACCCTCTCTTTGGGTGTGACCTGAAAGAATTTCAGAAATATGAGGGTGTGTGTGCACAAGTCAAATTATGTCAAGGACAGTTACTTGCACTCTCACCATTAACGTCATTGGCAAACATTACTTCATTCTCTGGGAAAAGCTCATTGATCCTGTTTAATCACCTTATGTGGAGAACCTGAAAAGTGAAATGTTGAATGCTTGGATATAGAAAACGTGATCTTTGGATCCACTTTCAGCGGGGAAAAGGGAGATAGGAAACTTGGATGATACATTCTACTCTTCATTCCATTTCTTTTTTTTTTTCTTTTTGTTTTGTTTTGGTTTTGGTGAGGCAACTGGGGTTAAGTGACTTGCCCAGAGTCACAGCTAGTAAGTGTTATGTGTGTGAGGTTGGACTTGAACTCAGGTCCTCCTGACTCCAGGGCTGATGCTCTTTCCACTGTACCACCTAGCTGCCCCATTCCATTTCTTTTGTAAAGATTTGCTCTTCTCCAGCAGAAATAATTATGGTATCCAGTCTTAGAATCCTTATGAGGATTTAGACAACTTTGGTTTAAGATTTTTTTTTTTAGATCCAAAACAAATCAGCAAAGATGCCCACATCTCAATAGGATGTCAATACAAGTACAGATAAAGACAGCCCAGTTTTCTAGACCCATTTAGTGTCTGTGTACCGGGGTAAAGGGAGGCATATAAATTCTTGTGTTATGATAAAGTTGCCATTTCTAACGCATTTGTTTCTGTATGTGAAGGAAACAGCTTAATCACAGAACAGGATGAAGTTTTAAAGTGGCTAAAGCAGGAATAGAAACCATTTGTGTTAGATTCATAGATGTCAGAGCTGAAAAAGACCTTAATGATCTTCAACCCAAGTTCAGCAAGTGATATTACTAGATAGAAGGTCTTGACACATCATAAAGGCTGGAATTGGAATGGGGCTTTTAAATTTTTCTTTCTCCTCAGTTATATTTGTACCTGAAATTATGAGAAGTTAAATTCTTCCTAGGATGAGCCTTTTCAAGGTTAATAATAGTAATGATAGTAATAAAATAACTCACATTTTTATAGCACTTTAAGGTTTGCAAAGTGCTTTATATATGTTCCTTCGCTTGATCTGCTCACTAACTCTTTTAAGGTAGGCAAGAAATGAATTTTAATCCTCATTTGATAGATTAGGGGACTTAGATTCTCAGAAGTCAAGTGACTTCCCATGGGCACACAGCAATTAAATGTCTGAGGCAGGATTTGAACTCGGATTTGCTCTGGATTCCAATGCCATGCTACATTCCAGGTATATGAGATGAATCTGTATTCCTAGTTGACTCTGGGGTTGAACTTGCTATTTTTTTGTTTGTTTCATGTTCCTATGATGCTTTAAGGTATGAAGGACAAAGATTTCCAGGAGTCATGAAATAACATTAACTTACCTATGCATGGTGCTCACGTGTCTGTTGGCTGACCTCTAAGGAGCAGTTCCTTTGAATCCATCCATTCAACACAATATAATATGTGTGCAATGCATTGTTGCTGGGCAGTGACCCAAAGAGAAATATAATTTAGATGTAGTTTTTGCCCTCATAGATTTCACTGTTGAAATGTGGACACCTATAGCACTCATTACTGCTACTATTGATAATAATACATATTTGCTTCTTATTTGGCCTCACCCTGCTTTCCACCTCATTGCCAAAAACTCACATTCCTAAAGCCTTCATTTTAGCTTTACACATTAAGGTTTGAATACACCTTGTTCTTATGGTAAATGAATTTCAGCATTTGAGGGGATCTTAGATGTCATCTAGTTTAGTTAGAAATCTCTTGTTTAACATACTTGATAGATGGTTATACACCCTCTGCTTGAACACCTCCAATGATGGGAAACCCAATATTTCACAAGGTAACCATGCCATTACAATTTTTGAATAGCATTAATTTCTAGAGAACTTTTTCCTCATATGGAGTTGAATTCTTTTCTAAATTTTTCTTTCTTTCTTTCTTTCTTTCTTTCTTTCTTTCTTTCTTTCTTTCTTTCTTTCTTTCTTTCTTTCTTTCTTTCTTTCTTTCTTTCTTTCTTTCTTTCTTTCTTTCTTTCTTTCTTTCTTTCTTTCTTTCTTTCTTTCTTTCTTTCTTTCTTTCTCTCGTGAGGCATTCGGGTGTTAAGTAACTTTCCAAGGGTCACATAGCTAGTAAGTGTCAAGTGTCTGAGGGCAGATTTGAACTCAGGTCCTCCTGACTCCAGGGCCAGTGCTCTATCCATTATGCCAATCAGCTGCCCCCTGGAGTTCAGTTCTTCCTCTCTATAACTTCTACCCTTTGGTCCTTTTATTTTCTTATCTCTGTGCTTTGGGTCATGGCATTCCATATGCCTAAAATTTTCTTCTTTCTATCCAAATACTCCTCCTCCTTCAATCTTGCAACTTAAAATCTCATTTCCTCTGTAAAATTTTCCTGATTATCCCTATTTAAATTGTCATCTATCTCCGTACTCAGAAATCCTGAAATGATAATTATATTACAATTTGTTTATCAATTAATCATATACTGCCTTGTGGACATTTCTTACTTATATGGTTGTCTTGAAATATTATCCAAATCCTTCATTTCTTTGAAGGATTCAGAAGGGATAGAAATAAGAAAAGCAAAAGAAAACCTTTTTACATGTTTATGTCTTGTTCTCTCGACTATACAATAAACTCCATGATAGAATCTTTTTTTGGGGGGAGGAGTGGTGGGAAGTGGGAGAGTATTATCTATAACATCTAGTATAATACTTCATGCATTGATGGTACTGGTTGGTTTGATTTGGTGTATAAGAAGTGAATAAATTATGCCTAGGCCTCTTGATTAATTTCCTATAAAATATACAGCTTTCTTTTTTCTTTTGTTTCTTTTCCTTCTTCCCTCCATCCTGAATGCTTCAAAAAACAAAAACAAACCAAGATCTACTTATTAGTTAGTTCTGAGTATCAAAGTTATTCATAAGAGCATATTTTTCACCTTTCCTGTGAGTATCAACCTTTATAGTTCTTCACAGTAAATATTAGTGATACAGAAGAAAAAGGTTTAGGTCTAATTATAGCTCTGATTTGGGACTATTTATTTGGGTACATGATTAGGAGAAAGACATAGATGCTTGCTAATATTCTTTCAATTCTTTGGAAATCAAGATTCTACTAAAGCATTTGTTTTTGTTTTGTTTTTGTCTTGGCCATTCTAGGTCCCTTATGTCACGGGAGTCTTTGGCATCCACGACTTTGAGTCTATCAGAAAGTCAGTCAGCCTTGAGTGTGAAGCAAGAATGGTCTCATGGCTACAGGACTCTTCCTTCCCTTCCTTCCAACTCAGGCTCTCAGAATGGCAGTGATCTAGGAGACTTACTTAACATCCCACCTGGGACACCTGTGTCCAACAGTAGTGTCTCCAGTTCATTGCCCTCTTATCTTTTTGGCATGGAAAACAGCCACTCCCCTTACCCTAGCCCCAGACACTCTTCAACCAGGTCTCACTCAGCCCGTTCTAAGAAGAGAGCTCTTTCCCTTTCCCCTTTGTCTGATGGCATCGGCATTGACTTCAACACCATCATCCGGACCTCCCCGACATCCTTAGTTGCCTATATCAATGGTTCCCGGGCATCACCTGCCAATATCTCCCCACAACCAGAGGTCTATGGACATTTCCTAGGAGTGAGGGGTAGCTGTATCCCACAGTCGTGTTCTATCCCAAGCTCTCAACGAAGTCTTCTGGTGACCAGTGGCAGCCTTACCATCCCTGCCTACAATGAGAATGGGGTGGTAGAATACCAGCGCATGCAGCAGCTAGAGCAGAGCAGCTTACAGTCAGCAATTATGAACAACATGGTGGTACAGCAGGGTCTACCTGCTTCAGCCAGCCAGCCAGCTGGTTTATTAAAAAGTGAACGATTGGATGACTTCCCAGGTGGTGCATTGATATTCCTCCTCCTCCCCCACCTCCTCCTTTACCCCCGCCGCCGCCGCCACCACCACAAGGGCCCCCACCCCCTTACCACGCCCATCAGCACCTTCACCAGCCTGACCTCCTTCACCATTCCCACCCACTTCCTCTGCCCCCTTCTGCCCAAGGTCCCCAGCATGAAGAGGATGGAGAATTAGATGATTTTAATGGGAAACATTGCTGTCGCTGGATTGACTGCAGTGCCACGTATGACCAGCAAGAGGAGCTTGTACGGCACATAGAGAAAGTTCACATAGACCAGAGGAAAGGAGAGGACTTTACTTGTTTTTGGGCTGGCTGCCCTAGAAGATACAAGCCATTCAATGCCCGATACAAACTATTGATCCACATGAGAGTCCACTCAGGGGAGAAGCCGAACAAGTGTACGGTGAGTCTTAAAAGCCCAAGCTTTAATGTGCTAAAGGCAAAGCCTGTTTTTGTGTGCTTTTAGATGCATTCATTTATTTCTTTAATTGCATATTTTATTTTCTCCAAACAATAACTTTTATTTTTTGCCTTTTAAAAATGTTAAAATCATTTTGCAATATACTCTTTAGTCGAATCCTGCTTTTTAAAAGAGAAAAATTTAAGTAAAACTTAATCAGAAAATTAATCATTTTTGAAAGTATTTCTGTCATTACCCATGATGTTCACCTCTTCTGCACTGAAAAAAAGCTGTTGTGTATATTCCTCTTTTCTCTGGGATCCAGATTGGTCATTGCACTTCTGAATTCAATAGCATTTTAGTGTTGCTTTCATCTACATTATTTTAGTCACCGTGCATGTTGTTTTCTTGGTTCCACTCTCTTCCCTCTGAATCAGTTCATGAAAGTCTTCTTGTGCTTTTCTAAATTCCTTATATTTATCATTTCTTGTGGTGTAGCAATATCCTATTATTATATGTCCTTATTTGTTCAGATATTCATTTGATGAGTACTTATATTGTTTCTAGAGCTTTTTTTCCTATCATATATATTTTATTGTATGAAGGTCTAAAATTTCTTTTTGTTATTGGTCTCCTTTGGATATGTGTAAGTTTGCATGCATACATGTGTGTATACACACATATATGCAAGCACACACATGGAATATATACACACACAAATATCTCAATGATACCACCTGAGAACCAAGTATTTGTATATAAGTAGAAACATACATATACATATGTATGTATGTATATATATAGTGTATATATATATGTATGTATGTGTATATATATATATGTATATAATATGCACATACACACATGTGTACCAAGCATTGCAAATAGATATTTAGATAGATACTTCCCAGGAAGTGATACATATGTGTGTACGTATGTATGTGTTTATAGATATAAATATCAATGTATATTCAGTGGTATGTCAAAGCTTAATTTTGTAGGAAGTCCAAGATATCATTTTCCCAAACAGAACTTGCAGGTATAGATAGATCATCTTGCCCTTTGCATGTTAGGTGAAGAATAAATATGCCCATTTCAGAAAATAAGAGATGAGGAAGGGAGTAGCATCTGCTCGTTCAGTAAAATATTTCCTGTACATTCTTGAGATGTTGGTGTTTAGCCAAGTAACAGGATGTTTCTTGAGTTTGTAGAGGCTTCCTAGAATCATCCACCCTGTGATACTAAGTAATAAAGGGAAATACTCAAGCATTGGTGCTGTTCTTTCTCCAAACCAAAGGAATCAAAGTTGACCAGATACATACATACTTGGGGTTTTTCACTTATTTATGGATATGACTGATCTGGGGAATATACACACCATCAATAACCAACATTTAGACCTTATCTAAAGCAAGTATTCTAAGCATTTCTTCCTCCCTGCCCCCATTCCTCATAGGAAGTGAAAAATAATGGGAGTTGAGGTAGGGGAAAGTTTGCTGTTTGGAAAAGAACTTACCATAAAGCAGCTTTGCTAGTAAAACAAAAAAACTATGCTTCATATGCCCTCATAGGATCTCATGCCATTTTGTTGAAGTGGGTAAATAAGTTATAATGGCTGATAACTATAGGTAAAATGTGCAGGACTTAAAGTGAGCAGACTTGTACAGGCACAAACCTCATTTCAGGGCAAGGGCATTTAGGGAAGAGGTACAAGGAGAAGAAAATGAGAAAGGTCTACTTTCTTAGTACTTAGTACAGTTTGGATGCTGAGTTATTTTCCTCTCTTTCTTTCATGATGTAAGCCCTGAAAATATTTTTGCTTTTCATCTAAATAGTTATTTTTAAAATAAGTGACTCCACATTGATCTCACACCTAGTGGATAATCTGAGGATATATAGAGGACACCTAAAGGCAACGTGGCATAAGGGAGAGAGGACTGGATATGGATCCAGAGGTGGGTGGTGATTGTTCAGTCATTCAGTTGTTTCTGACTTTTCATGACTCTATGGAGTTTTCTTGTCAAGATATTGGAAAGGTTTGCCATTTCTTTCTCCAGTGGGCCAAATTAAGTAGAGGTTAATAACTTGCCCAGGGTCACACAGCTAATAGGTGTTTGAGGCCAAATTTGAGCTCAACTCTTCCTGACTCCAGATCCAGCACTCTATCTACTGAGCCATCTAGCTACCAGAAGACCTGGGCTCAAATCTCTCCTGTCTTGCTTAGTCCCTGTGTAACCTTGGTTAAGTAATTTTAACCTCTGGGTACCTCAGTTTCCTCTTTTTACAAATGAGGATTTTGAAATCAGATTCCTTCTGCCTCTAAATCTATGATCCTATCTAGTGAAAAAAAGCTTTTGGTTTCTGTGGCTGCATCAGTTGACATCTGTTTTGTTTGCTCATAACCTTAATGGAGGATATCTGAACCATGATAGTCTTGGCAACTGCAGGAAGGATTTGCACTGCCTCAGACAGCTTATTTTAACAGTTACTATTAGTGTGGATGGAAAGAAACATTCTTTAGAGTTAAAAAAAGTGGGAATTCCCGGAATTCCCCATACACTGGCGATACTGTAGGTTTTCATGGGTCTGAAACATAAATCTCTTGGAAAAGGTGCTGACTTGAACTGTGATTCTCCCCTCCCAGCCTCCTCTCCCTTACTTGGCAGGTCCTGATAATAAAGAATCTCTACCATATGCTTATGTTTGATTGTCAACATGATATGCTGAGTTGTCCTCAATTAATGTTATAAGTAAACAAAACAGGTGTCAACTGATTTCAGGTTATTATTACAGGCAGCTTTTTTTTTTTTACTATATAGTAGTTATTTTTAAAACAAGCTTTAAAAATTATTTGGATGAAATAAAGATTAAATTGTATTTGTGTATGTGTTTGTGTGAAACATCATGTTATTCTTTTTTTTCCCTCTTTTTGGTGAGGTAATTAGGGTTAAGTGACTTGCCTAGGGTCACACAGGTAGTAAGTGTCAAATGCTTGGTCTGAGGTCAGATTTGAACTCAGGTCCTTCTGACTCTGGCGCCAGTGCTCTATCTACTGTGCCATCTAGCTGCCCCCATGTTGTTATTCTTAAGGTGAAGCCTGAAACTGACACATTGGGAGAATGCTGGCTTATACTAATCAGGAGAATAAGAATATTTCAGCCAGCTAACCTTTACTCTGCCAGTGGTATTCTACATTACATGTATCAGAGAGGGAAAGACAATTGTAGGCAATAATATTTACAGTTCAGAGCATGCTGGTGTGTTACAGCTGTATTCCAGTCAGGAAAAACCTTCAGGCTTTAAAAGAAAACAGTTCAACTTTTAGTTCTGACTAACCTTGGGTAAAAATAGTTCATTGGATTTGGCTTGATTAAAATAAGTAAATAAATCATGAATTTTGGGGAAAATTATATTGCAAAATGGATTCTCCAGAAGCATTTCTTCAATTTTCTATTATTCAGTGACTTTCCTAATCACTGTTTACAAGAGTTTGCAAATGAACAAATCTTTTTTGGCATAAGGTCAACTATTGTCAAACTCAAAAATTCCAATTAAAAATAGAAATACTTCAGTGGTAGAGAAAACCAAAAGATGAATTTTTCAGGCTGGTGTCAAGTTTTTTCACTGTTTCAGTTAGGATGAGCATCAGAGTAGCATTTCTGCCTTCTACCTTATCCCTATCAACCACCACTTTCTCCTCTAAGTAGATTATTACGTGTGAGTCTGTTTTTCTGATATATTTAATAGAATCACTATGGACCTATTAAAACTGGGAAGCCCAAAGCCTTGACATTTTTTTTTCCTTTCTTGGAAATGCTTTTAACAGCCTTCCTATCTTATATGGCACTTGGTAGCCATCTCAGGCTCTGATTCCATTCTATTCTATTCTATACTTACTGTGGAATATTATACAACATTAATATTTGTGTGGGGGTCATGTCTCTTTTGCTACATTGAAGGTGCTATGAGGGCAGGGCCATGTCTTGATGATGCTGCCAAATAGCACAGTGCTTTGTACATCATAGGTGTTTAATAATGAATGAATGAATGAATGAATGGATATTGCATCGGTATTTACATCTGAATGTTTCTTAAAAGTTGTATTTCTAGTTTTAGGATTCTATTTCTTGGTAAGCCACACATTCTCCCATAAACTATATGAATGAGTCACAGTCATCATGTCTTCTGAAAACCAGTCTGTATGTTGCCAGACAACTTCTGATTGTTGTTTGGGAGTACTGTCAACTTCAAGCAAGATTATTGTATAATAAAGGTTTAGCAATGTTCTCAACCGATAATGGAAGAAGAGCTATTTGCCACTGCAAATATTGGATAGGCACCCAAGAAAATGTATATGTACCTGTTGCAAAGAACATATTTCTCATTCTATGAACATTAGGCTTTTGAAGACAGATACAAATAATTGCTAAGACTACAGTATTTTATCTTTCTACACTTGAAAAAAAAATCTAGTGGTGGTAGACTTGGAGCTTCAGAATTAGTGCCAAATAAAATGACCACATTTCTCTTTTGGAAACATGAAATGATCTTTTGGTTTCTGTGGCTGCATCACATGGTGTCAGTGTAAGGAACATGCTATTTTAAAACAGTTTGTATTTTTTTTTTCTTCATGATTGTTTAACTGTGATTAATTTGGTGTGTACAATTTTTGGAGCTAGTAATCATTTTCACTCATTTAGCTTATTGACCCAAGCAGATATGATGGCCCAATTGTGCCAATCACCATGACTACAAGCAACACAGGGCAATTTTGAAAGGCTCAGTGAAAAAAAAAAAAAGGAATATGTGAAAGGCCCGCCCACTGACAGCATGCTTGCTGTAAGAGGCTACTGCCAGTGGGGGCAGTGCCAAGTTCAGTCTGGGTGCATAAAACAGTTCTGTCAAACAAGCATTATTAAAGCATTTGCTCCATGCAAGCAATTGTGTCAAGCAGTGGGTAGACAAGGATGGAAAGTGACACAGCCCCTGTCGTTAAGAAGTTT